GCTTTTGTCCAGCTCTGGCTGAGTCAAGGTCTTATCTCAGTGGAGAACTCTCTTTTTCCACTAGCTACAGGCTCCCTATTCTTTACATTCCCTTGACATCTCCCACTGCATCCCAGACGCACACCTCCCTTTTAATTTATGGCTTAATTTCCCTCCTAATTCAGAAGATTGATGCCGGAAGGCTATTTGCCGAATTATTGAAATGTCACTACGTTTTATTGTTGTAATAAAGGGATTCCTATATATCACTCGCTCTATGGGGATTCCAGACCTTTTGCATACATCTTCCTAGCAACTGATGCTGGCAAAAAGTGCCAGCACTTATATTCCTAACAGGAGGCACGAGAAGGGAGGGTTTGTAGGATTCACATGTCATCCCAGGAGAGAAGGTTGTTAATTTGTGAGCACAGTTGTCTTTTACTGTGTTGACCCATTGTCTACAAGCACTAATGAATTATAAGTCCGTAATGTATCTCGTGTACTTTTCATTTAGTAAATCTTGTTTTCATTATTGTCATAGCAATAAAGTCACCACATTCATCGTGGTGAGTTCTTGAAGTGCAGATTAAATTGCTGTTTGTAGTTATATTTTTTTTAAGGTCACAATGATAACACATTACCCCAGTTCTGTTAATATGTTATATAGATAATGCAATCATAATAATGAAAACAAATAAAAATAGCAAGTACTTACCTTCCAAGATCATGAAGTTGCACAGTTTAGAGAAGCTAAATGTAACTTCAGTTTGGCCACACCCTCACAAAGAGGCTCCACCAATCAGGAAACTCTCATTCTAGTTTGAGTTTGATTGTGTTCCAGAAGATTAACTCACAACTTTAGGTGCCATGAGGGGGTGTTGCCAGTGACTTAACCGTAGCAATTCCTACAAGGGGCATCTGCTGACAAGCTGTTTGGCAGACCCCCAGCGCTCTCTGCACGGTCCTAGTGCCCGCTGTATGGGTCTACTTATGTTGTTGCGTTGTGCTACCTGGGGACAGTTCACCGGTGTCCCCAGATGCAGGACAGATTGGAACTAATGCAAGGCAGAAGGACAGGCCCCCCAAAGGTCTGTTGGGAGGTCTGCCAGAAGTGGTTTATGAGAGAAATTGTTTATCCCACAGTAGTAGTTCCACTCATCACATATGATAAAAACTGCATGGTTCTGTAGACTGATGGCAACTTTTCCACAACTGCTATCAGCTTATATACAGCACGGATCACTTCTTATTTTTGTGAACCTGTCCATATATTGATCAATCAGCAGAACCACCAACTGCATGTGCAGTAATGATTTCAATAACGTGACGATATCATGGCGCTTATTATTATTAACTTTAGCTCCACTATTGATACTATTAAAGGTTTAGTCTAGTATTGACAGGTTTGCATCTTCCTCAAGGTAGATATAATTATTGCTGTGCGCATCTTTGAGCAGTCAAATAATAAAGAATCAACTGGAAGTTTCACGGGGTGAAACATCTCATATTAACTCGGTGAAACTGAAGATCTCCATGAAACGATGCTATCCACTGGGGACCTGTCAGACCCTACAATATCCAAATCCAAACCCAAAAAATGAATGTACAAACGGACACACCAGGAAATCCAGGACTTATTGTTCCAAAACAAAATACATTCCATCATGAAGGAAGACAAGATCAAGTTACAGCCACCTCACTTTGCACGATTTGTATTGCACAGAACACTAATTTCCTTGTCTATCTGTTTATGCATCAATTTTGTTGGTTTGTATATGTATCCACACGCACCATGTAAGGATTTTGGATTTTTTGTTTTATAATAAAATCTGGATTCTTTTTAAATGGCCATGTCTAAAATAATTTTGTTGATATGGCATTAAAAGTCACAACAGTCCGTCTTATGATCTCAGACCTATTGAATCCACTTGAGTCAGTTCTTGTCACTAAATAACCAAGACAAGTAGCTTGTGCTAATACAAGTTCCCTCTCCCTCTGTTTCAAAAAAGATGTTAAAACTTGCAGCAAGGGTTAACAGTCTCACAGAAAGTAATCAATATGGGTGATCTATTGCAGGACCTGCCAATACATTAATGGCTCCGTCCTGCCTTTGAAGGCGCCATTAATCATGGTGGTGCCACAGTGCTTAGCAGGCATCCATGCAAACAGCTCACCCCAAGAGTTAGGGAGGGGGGAGGAAAGACCTGAAGCAATTAACGTCCAGGCATTCTGCAGCTCAAGGGCCTGATGACTTTTACATACTAAAATAGTAAGCAAGGCCCCAATGGTAAATCAATAAAACAATAAGACAAACTATTTTAATAAGACAGAGGCACCCAGTTTATCACAGCTCGTCCTTTATTTATGGAAGCTTCTGCGGATATAAATAAATACTTACTTAGTGGATAACAGCAGGGCTTCCATTTAATGCCCCGGAATACAGGAAAATTATTCTCAGTACTCGGAAACATCTATCTCCCTTTCTCTCTCTCTTATTATACATAACAGAACTTATTTTTTCAGCTTTGCGCAAGAATAATAAATATATACTCTCTCCAGGATTCTCTTGTTCTGAAGAGCTAACATTCTATTATTTTGTTTTTCAAATTTCAATAAACACAAAATGTATGTATTTGATCCCCTGCTGATTTTAAACGTTTGCCCACTGACAAAGAAATGATCAGTCTATAATTTTAATGGTAGGTGTATTTTAATAGTGAGAGACAGAATAACAAAAAAAAAATCTAAAGAAATGCATGTCAAAAAAGGTATAAATTGATTGGCATGTCAATGAGTGAAATAAGTATTTGACCCCTTCGACTTGGTGGCAAAACCCTTGTTGGCAATCACAGAGGTTCTGACATTACTTGCAGTTGGCCACCAGGTTTGCACACATCTCAGGAGGGATTTTGTCCCACTCCTCTTTGCAGATCCTCTCCAAGTCATTAAGGTTTCGAAGCTGACATTTGGCAACTTGAACCTTCAGCTCCATCCACAGATTTTATATGTGATTAAGGTCTGGAGACTGGCTAGGCCACTCCAGAACCTTAATGTACTTCTTCTTAAGCCACTTGTTTGTTGCCTTGGCTGATGTTTTGGGTCATTGTCATGCTGGAATACTCATCCATGATCCATTTTCAATGCCCTGGCTGAGGGAAGGAGATTCTCACCCAAGATGACGGTACATGGCTCCGTCCATCGTCCCTTTGACGCGGTGCAGTTGTCCTGTCCCCTCAGCAGAAAAACACCCCCAAAACATAATGTTTTCATCTCCATGTTTGATGGTGGGGATAGTGTTCTTGGGGTATAGGCAGCATTCCTCCTCCAAACAAACATGGCGACTTGAGTTGATGCCAAAGAGCTTGATTTTGGTCTCATCTGACCACAACACTTTCACCCAGCTCTCGTCTGAATCATTCAGATGTTCATTGGCAAACTTCAGATGGGCCTGTACACGTGCTTTCTTGAGCAGGGGGACCTTGCGCTCGCCGCAGGATTTCAGTCCTTCACGGCGCATTGTGTTACCAATTGTTTTCTTGGTGACTATTGTCCCAGCTGCCTTAAGATCATTAACAAGATCCTCCCATGTAGCTCTGGGCTGATTCCTCACCGTTCTCATGATCATTGAAACTCCACGAGGTGAGATTCTGCATGGACCACCAGACCGAGGGAGACTGACAGTTATTTTGTGCTTCTTCCATTTGTGAATAATCGCACCAACTGTGATCACCTTCTCACCAAGCTGCTTGGCAATGGTCTTGTAGCCCATTCCAGCCTTGTGTAGGTCTACAATCTTGTCCCTGGCATCCTTGGAAATGGTGGATAGTTTGGAATCTGATTGCTACTGTGGACAGGTGTCTTTTATACAGGTAAGAAGCTGAGATTAGGAGCACTCCCTTTAAGAGAGTTCTCCTAATATCAGCTTGTTACTTGTATAAAAGACACTTGGTAGCCAGAAATCTTGCTGATAGGGGATCAAATACTTATTTCACTCATTGACATGCAAATCAATTTATACGTTTTTTTGACATGTGTTTTTTCTGGATTTTTTAAATTTTATTTGTTATTCTCCCTCTTACTGTTAAAATGCACCTACCATTAAAATTATAGCCTGATCATTTCTTTAACAAAAAAAGTAGAGAGGAGAATCAGCGCTAACGAATCCTAAAAGGAAAAGGCAGCAATCCCTCACGTGTCCTTGAAAATAATTGGACAGATAGCAAAAAGATGGGGCTGTGCCACAGTACAGAAGTAAATAAATATAAGTCCTAGCTTGGATAAATTCCTTTATGTACAGAAGATAGGAACTGTGATCTTATGCTGGTCTCTGGGGCTGCAGGGTTCCGCTTCTTGTAGTGGTCAAGTATATAGGAGAGGGTGATAAGAGATGAGAGGAGACAATGGTGCAGTACATTCCAAGGGGTGCCGATATAGAGAAAATGGTAGAAGTCTTACTCACATTCAATAGAGCTTAACCCAGCTCTGGTGTGTATGGCTTGCAGTGGTATAATCCCTGCTTATGGGATATGCAGTGAGTGTCCTCTCGGTGCCGTACCGTAGTTCCAGGGGGGAGATGATAAGAATGGAGACCATAATGGTGCAGTATGTTCCACAGTAGATAAAAGATAATAAAATATAATATTAACACTCACATTTGGTAGAGCTTAAACAAGCTCTAGTGTGGTAGGCATACAGCAGTACAATCCCCGCCTCTGGGATATGGTGAGTGTTCTTTAAAGATGGTGGTATCAGGAGCTCAAAAGGAAGATCATAAAAACAGCAATAGTGCTCTCAATAAAATATTACTGGTATATAAAATATACTCACAATATGTAGTGCAGGCTCACTGCTCTATGATAACATCATAGGTGGTATGATCCCCACCTAGGATTCTTTGGAGTAACGAAGAAAAATAAAATGCAAGGTAGTAGTAAAAAAGAATAAAAATGTGAATAAAAGATGATGGTACAGAGGAGTAAAAGGAACCAAAATCTGTTTATTAACAATTTAAAAAGCCGTATACAATATCCAAACCCGTTTCACCATATAGGTTTTATCAATGGATCCATTGATATCCATTGATATCCATTTGTCCATTGATAAAACCTATATGGTGAAACGCGTTTGGAAGGGAAGCTTGTTGTGTTTCTGTGTGTGAAGGGATGCATTGTGTGTTTCTGAGTATGTATAGGCATGCATTTTGTTTGTGTGTGTGTGTAGTGTGAAAGAGCTCCCTGTCCTGCCCCCTGTCCTATAGAGCTCTCCCTTCCGTCCCTTAGAGATTTCCCTTGCCCCTTAGTGGTCTCTCCTCTCCTCCCTTGTTCTTTAGTGGTCTCTACTCTCCTCCTCCCCCCCTCCCTTAGTGGTCTCCTTTTCTCCTCACTTTCCATTAGTGGTCTCTCATCTCCCCCTTAGTGGTCTCTGCTCTCCTCTGCCCCCCCTTTCCATTAGTGGTCTCTCCTCTCCCCCCTTTTCATTAGAGGTCTCCCCCCACCCTTAGTAGTCTCTTGTCACCCCACTTTCCATTGGTGGTCTTCCTCCATCCCCTAGTGGTCTCTCCTCCACCCTCCTCCCTTAGTGGTCTCCTGCTCTCTCCCCTCCCCTAGTGGTCTCTCCACCTCCCTCCTTTTAGTGGTCTCTTCCTCCCCACATTCCTCCCCCCCTCCTGTGTTCTCATCTCCCCACTGTTCTCCTCTTCTTCCCTCCTCCCTGTGTTCTCCTCTTCTTCCTCCCCCTGTGTTCTCCTCTTCTTCCTCCCACTGTGTTCTCTCTCTCTTCTTTCTTCTCTACCCGCGTTCTCCTCTACTTCCCCCGCATTCTCCTACTTCCCCGTTTCTCTCTCTCTTTTCCCTCCTGATTCTCCCTGTGTTCTCTCTCTTCCCCTGTTCTCCTTCTTTCCTCCTCTCTCCCTCCCCCTGTGTTCTCCTCTTGTCCCCCTTGTCCCTTCTTCCCCGTGTTCTCTCTTCTTCCCCGTGTTCTTTCTCCTCTTCTTCCCCCTGTGTTCTCCTCTACTTCCCCCGTGTTCTTCTCTTCTTCCCCCCTCCCTGTTTTCTCCTCTTCTTCCCCCCATGTTCTCCTCCTCTTCTCCCCCCTCCCCTGTTCTCCTCTTCTTCTTCCTCCCCCCTCCCTGTTTTCTCCTCACCTTCCTGTCCCTGTGTGTAGCATGGGTGGCCGAGCTCCTTTTCGGTCCGCGGTACAAGAGCTTCTGTTTCCTGTACTCATTGTGCACTTCCTGTCAGTCCGGCCGGGTACAGGAAACGGATGTTCCTGTACCGCGGACCGGAGAGGAGCTTGGCCACCCACGCTACAGGGAAGGGGAGGTGAGGAGAGAGGCAGTGCTGCAGCCGCCTGAGGCTCTCTATAGAGCGCTTAGGCGGCTGCAGCATTTAAAGGGCCGTCGATGAGGGCGCAGGGTGGCCCCTCCTATATGGCGCCCTAGGCAGCTGCCTAGTTTGCCTTATAGGAAGCGCCGGCCCTGACTGAGGGCTCAGTAGGTAATTTATTTTACAGTTGCAGGAGAGGAGTCATGTGGGGTGTTGGATAAAACCTGCTAACAGTTTAATTGATATGCTTTCTTGAAGAAGTGAGTTTTCAATTATTTTTTTAAATGAGTGGATACTGGGTGAAAGTCTTACGCTATAATTCTGCACCATCACTACAATGCTCCAATCAAATCAAATTAATGTTTTGACTCTCTTAAAGAATTTACTACACAGTGGCGTCATCATCATTTATTAGTACCATTTTGTGTCGGCTCCTCTTATTTCATTTTAAACTGCAAGCTGGCGTTATCATTGCTTCAGAGTCAAAGTTTATGTCTAAAACATGCAAAATAAATAAATAATCCTGTGAAATGTACCAAAACTTGGATTTTGTCTCAAGTGATTTGCGGCCATCATTACATCTGGAATGATACTACAGAATACATGAATATTTTAGTAGTGAAGAGCAAAGTTGTAATGTAACCCCATCCACTACTTGATATTTCAAAGAGATTTTCTAATTAAATGCCTTGCACTATTTGCCCAAGAGAGATTTTACAATGACTTTCCATGTGCATACAGAGAGCAAAATTGACTCTTTAGTCTCTATTCACTAAACATCGAATTGCAAATTCAAAGTGAAATAGCAAATTTACTGCCAAATTAACAAGTGGAAACAGCTATTTTGGCTGGATCGGATAAATCCCAAAATTTTCAATGGTAGCTGCCTCTTGTAACGAGAAGAATCGTCACCATTAAAAATTTTGTGCAACCTAAGAGCTTTATAAAAGTTAATACACAGTTAATGTTTAGACGCACAGGAGATACATGAAAACACACATACTCCCTCCTGCAATGGGGCCTGACCATTTTTACCACAGAACACAATAGGACCCTCTAAAATCGCAGAGCCAATGGTTTTAACATTAAGTTATATTTACAATTGAATTATTGTTTGTATAAAATTCAAAAGTTACAAAGGGCTCACCATACACCTGCTCACGGTGGCAAAACCGCTTATCCCCACACACTGGAAAAGCACAGCAGTACCCTCCCTGGGGCAATGGATCGCCAGGGTGGAAGACATCTACAATATTGAGAAGATGATGGCCTCCCTGCAGGGACGAGCAAACAAATGTGCGCTGACCTGGTACCCGTGGATGGACTATGTGGCCAAAAGAGCTGGGGCGGCTGGCCCGCGCGGGGGGCTGTGCCCGCTCCGGAGCCGGCGGTTACTGGAGACCAACACTGACTCAAATCACACACACATGTGGACAATACCCTACAACCACAATAACCCCTCTCCCCACCCTTCCAAACTGACCACGGACATATTACAGACACACCATAACCCAAGATAGCCGAACCCCCCCTCGCAAGTTCAGACCGGTAGGGGTCTGACCCAAGGCATAGTGTCAAAAGGAAAATAGGCTTCCCCGACTAATGGGCAATCTCCAACACACAAATGATGAGCCATCCCAGGCCCACAAAACACCCAACACCCTTGACACAACAGACCTCAGCTTCCAGCACTTAGCTAGGGGACCAGTGCCAGAACTATCTCATGTACCCACACTGCAAGACGCAATGCAACAACGGCTCCCTGGGCAAGGGGGGAGATAAGGCCATGGGCCTACGGGCCGATGATGGGGTTCACCCAACGCACAAAATACACACCCACTCCTCAACGGCACCCCTCAAGGTACCCAACATGCAATGGTTGAATGTTCATAATGAGGGCTTTGATACCGAGACGCTGGGTTATAAAGCCTGCACACCTCACAATAATAAAAATTGAGGTTGTTAAACTACATTATATGTTTAGCACAGCACCTTTAAAACCGTGTATGATATTGATGAAACGTTAGCCACATACTGTTTCAGAGCCGCACAATTTAACTTGTACTGCCTTGACCTCAATGACAAAAGTGGAGAATGTCGTGGGGGAGAAGGGGAAGGAGAAAGAAAAGGATATACATATTTAGATATTTTTTCTTTATATATGCTGTACTGTCTTCCTAACGTGATGGGGTACTCAGGCCTCAATTTTCTCAGAGGTTTTAAAATTCATTTCTTTGTGGGTAATCACATTTATTTGATGAACCCTCCCGACACCCGGCCTAGCCCCGGTGGTTTTCTTATGTATGACAAGCATAGACTACCTATTGTTTTACCTAGAATAAGTGTAGCTATGTATTTAAGCATGTTACCTTGAACAACAAAAAACAAGTAGAGGCCCAACATTTACAAATAATATGCCTGTATGTATACTCATTTCTCTAAAAATTGTATCATGTTTCAGCAGGTGATATCTCATTCTCTCTCAATAAAAATCTGATTGACAAAAAAAAATAAAATTCAAAAGTTGACTGAATGTACTCACGTAACACCACAACTGATGCAATGCATGACTGTTCTATGTCATCTTCCCATTATGTATAAATCTTTGCTGAACTTAGGCTTCTGCGCAAGCCTCTGTGTATACTACTATCTGAATTTTTGTCAGCAAAAATAAAGATTTAAAAAAAATAAATAAAAGTTAAAGGATCACTATAGTGTCAGGAAAACAAACTAATTTTCCTGACACTATGTCATCCTAGGGTCTTCCTCCAGTGGCGCTAAAAGGGTTAAAGCCCCTTCAGCAGTTTACCTTAATCCAGCGCCGGGCTCCCTCGGCACTGGTGACCTCTCCTACCCCGCCGGCATCAGCTCCCGAGTGGAGCGGAATGCGCATGCACGGCAAGAGCCGCGCGCGCATTGAAACAGTCCATAGGAAAGCTTTCCTATGGACATTCTGCACGCTGGATGCAAATTTCACATCCAGCGTAGCAGAAGCGCCTCTAGTGGCTGTCAGCACCACTAGCGGTTGGATTAACCCTGCTATGTAAACGTCTGAAGGGTTAAAACCTGAGGGACCTGGCACCCAGACCACTTAATTGAGCTGAAGTGGTCTGGGTGACTATAGTGTCCCTTTAATACAACTCTAAAACATGACTCCTTGTAAAAAAAATAAAAGAATGGATTATGTCATATGAGAGTCTATAAAGCCACTGTCTGCAAAGAAATGTAAATAATTAGTAATCCATGATGCTGTGTGTAAGTACCCATGCTGCATCATTGGAAGGATGGAATGTAGGTGCACATTGCACTAAGGGAAGGAGTGATAGGCTTACTTAGTATGGGATAAGTGCTGAGGATATATGTGTCTTGCTGAATACATTGTATCAGGAAGCACTTCAAAAGCATTTACTTGGGTGAATGAAGACAGATTCGTCACCAACTAAAATGTGACAATTGCGCCTTAAATCTGTTGGAAACTGTCCCCAATGGCAAACTCATTTGGTTCTCAAAACACCACTGTTCGTCTTGTATTTTAATATTTGCAGTGAGAATCATCAAGTTCCTCATAGTCTTTCATCCGGAAAGCAGTGTGTTACAGATCCCATATGTACATAAATTTTAGTAATAACTTGGACATAGATCTGGGGGAATCTAACCTTTTGAAGCTCAGGAAGCAGACTCTATAAGGGGTCACAAGAGCACACAGGCGGGAGGATGAATGCAGAACAAAAAGACAATTAAAACTGATATGACTCTCATAACAGAAGTGGAAACAGCAGGCCGGATGGAAGCAATTTAGCTAACAAATTGCCC